CCGAAGCTTGAAGTGGTGGCGTAGGAGCTGCCTCTTAATCCATCGGAGAAAAGCTCAAGGTGTATAACCTATTGCTGCCTATATTTAAGATCTGCTGGCGACTTTTCCAGCAGTGTGCACTTTCTGGGCCAAATTTTTCTCTTGACATAAACCAAGAGAGTGTGAAGAACCCAGATAACAGGAATCAGGTGTGCACATGGAAGAATTTTTCACACAGGACAGTTACAAGCTTGCTCTCCTGCAGTGATACTGGACCATGCCATCTCCTTTGAGCCTGCTTTTGCTCCTGGCTGTAAGGAGGTTGGACGTAGAACCACTTGTGCCATATTCAGTATTTGCTACTGACAGAACTGAAGAGGAAGACCCCTTGCAGGGAGGGTCCCTGCTGTTCTGGCAAAATGCCAAAACACATCAGCGAGGAAGCCATGGTCTCTGATGTTCCCTATCCCTGCCAATGCCACAGCCTCTGCCTGCCCTCAAGACTGTTCCTGAGGTTCCTCAGGTGCTGAAGCCCCAGGGAATGGTACAGATGCAGGTGTGGGGTAAGGGAAGAGGAGGAAGATAATTTGTGAAAAAGTGAACACATCAGGGTCACTAAAAATCACAGGCCACATCCTGCAAGAAGCACCACTCTGCTGACACCAGAGAGAGTCAGTGGAACATTTGGCCCAGAGAGTGAGACAGGGGCTTAGAAATGAAGCAGAAATTACTTGGAAAAACAATACTTGCTGAGGCCAGTTCAAAGAAAATGCAAAGGAAAGGTTTGAGTTCTGAGGCACTCACTCAAGTGTCTCAGAAAGGTACTGAGCACCCGCAGCTAACTAGCACATGCAAAGGAGCCTTGCAGGAGTTTATAGTATGTTGTATTTTTCCTTAAATGAGACTTTTTTGGGGTGGGGGGCATTCCTTCTTTACAATGCAAGGATGGTCTGTGAAGTGCCTTTGTAGGGAATTAGATATTTGTGAGTTTAGAGGGGAATGTGAACAGACAGATGTAGACATCCCCTGAAAAAAGGGTTCTTGGAAAGTGAAGAGTGACCCTGTAAAACTGAGATACTCGCTAATAGCTAGGAGCAGTTGGCAGATCTAAGCATTGGACAGGGCTAGAGGCAGGCATGCATATGCAAACATGAAAACAGATATAAAAACAGATAACATTTATTTTTTTTAATCTCTGGTAGAGGCACATTCCTGAAAGTAAGTAGAGCTCCCCATCTCTCCTATATTTGCAGGAAAGCTATTGCTGCAGCTGAGACCATCCTTGGGGGAAATATGCCCTCAAATATGCAGGATTATCATATTCATAACATAGGCTCAGGACTACGGCTGGTACTTAGAGTGCCGAGAACAGAGCATTGCATGGGAACCATCCAAGTGAGCCTGGGCATGGTGGGGAGGGCCGGCTGCGCCTCTGCCCATGCGGCTGGGTGGTCTCCGGTCCCAGGAGAGAGCCCCGGCATCGTGTGCTCCCCCGAGGCCCTGCCAGGGTAGCCAGACAATGAGAGGAGGCAAGAGCTGACACTGGCTACATCCCTTTGAACCAAGGGCTGGGAGCAGGGACTTCACTGCAGCGCTCTCAATAATAATTTGCTTTTCATTCTGGTACTTTTAACCACATCTGTCTTTTTGCACTGAATACAGGCCTAGGGGTCCAGGACATGCAAAGTGCCTTAACTTTATGCTCTGTGGTCCAGCAGAGCATCTGTGTGGCACACGCATGGCCAAATCTTCCCATAGCAATCTTGAATACCCTATCATGGTGTGAAAGACCCAAAGTATGTGAAGGTGAGTGCAATAAAATTCATTTTGCCAGTTCACAGGCAGAAACAATATGTTTCTTTAGCCCAAATGGTAGAGCTGGGAAAGAAAAATAAATGGGTGGGCACATAGATCTTTCTTTCTGACTCAGAATGAAGCAGCATCCTCCAGACTAAGTCCAAGTCGAAACAATAGCTCTTTGCTGAACCTGGTTGTGTTAACTGACTGGGCAGCTTGAGAAAGAAAGGGTATTTAGAGCCTGTGGAGTCAAGAGATGATGTTAGCAAGGAGGGAGGCAATAACCTGTTTATTCCTTCAAAGTGAGGCAGAGGTCAGTCTGTAGGCAGCCTCTGTGGAATTAACGTGATTCATCTAGACAAAAGGAAGATTGAAGTATGCCTTAGAAACAATGTCTTTGTTGAGTCCATGATTTTTTTTTTTTTTTACTCTGGCAGAGTCAAGCATTCCTCTTTTCAGGCTTGGCTTTTGAAGTTATATTGGAAGTCCCCTTCAGGATGACCCTCTGAGAGGTCAGAGGGAGCAGTTAGTGAAAAATATTCCCCACGTGGTAACTGGATGCTACGGTCCTTTATTAATTGTCCAGCAGAGTTCACTCCAGTGCGTAAGAGTTGTTCAACTGCATAGTTTCCGTAAGTCCTTTACAGTATGGTATAGAGTGTGTCATGTTTCATGGTGAGCATGTGAAGGCTCCCCGGATCGCCGTGGGTGCTGTTCGGAGGGCAGTCACTGCAGTGGGTGTGGAGATGGACTTCCAGATTTTTTTTCCTTTTGTTGCTATTCAGTTGTCAAGGGTGGATTCAGTCTGATTTGTTTTTGATTATTCATTTTCTGAGGCTGGGCATTATTTGAAAGTTAGAAAGTTAGATGTTGGGCAAAATTTATTTCAAAACATATGGTCTTCTAAAGTTGGGTTAGTTGCTTCATAATTTTCCATGTGGATTCCATCACGGTGCAGTATGTGAAAAGTAAGGGGTAGAATCAGTTGGTTTTTATTCCTTTGCATTGAAGTATGCCTTTGGTTTCTCATTCAATGAAAGGTAAGAATAGTTTCTCAGATGGGCAAAAAGTAGCTTTATACTAGTGAAGTGAGTGTCATGAATTCTTTCCTCCAAGTGACTAACGGCGTCTGAGAGCATGCAGTAAGGATCAGCATTTTAATATGTTTTGAATGCTCGCCAGGTCTAGATGTGTTGAATTGCAGGCATTTTTGTGTATTGTAGGTCTTAGTGTGTCACTTGTGAGGATAGGGTCTGAAGCCGATGCAGATGTAAGAATATTTCAAAGCCAGATTGATGACATTGGTGATTGCTGAATTTGCGATGGGAATTGTTAACAAAGTACAGGTTTCCAATTCAGATGGTGAGGATGTAATTTATGAAGGTTAGTTAAACTTGGTGACATAGTTACCTTAAGAAAGAAAACAAAACGAACAATCCAACAAACAAACAAAACCTAAAAACCACACACCTGTGATGTATCTTATAAAAAGGTTGGTGTGTTTTATCGATTATTAAAAAAAAGATTGTGGTCAGAGATGAAACAGGTGAGTTTGATGGCATGCTTGCATTGGGAATTTATGGCTATATTTTATTTTGTAAGTTTTTAAGCCAAACTGTGATGCTGCCATTGGGGATGTTGCGCAGTTGGTGCATGTCTGTGATAGCATGAGTAGTACTAATTCGGGGTGCTTTATGTTACACAAGCCTTGGGGAAATTCCTCAGCTTTTTGTGTAAGGAAGAGCTGAGGATAGTTTATCTCCCTTGTGATAATTCTTCGGGCAAGCTGGAAGATCTGCCAGGGTTGTTGGCTCTGCAGAACAAGAGCACTGAATTCGAACTTGCTGTGTCAAAGCAACCTTTGTGAGCCGCAGGACTTCCCAGCTTCTGCAGCCAGGCCCCTAGCCAGCCTGTTCCAGGAGCTCAGCTCCAGGCTCTGTGCTGTACGTGTGCATGCATGCAAAGAGCTGAGCATTCAGCCCTTTTTCTGTGTCTCCTACCCTTGCCCCTCTTTTAACTCTGATTTTCTTACAGAGGAAGAAGTTGCTGCAAAACCAAGGAACTGTATAGACAGAGAGCGAGATTTTCAATCATATTATCCTGACTAGGGAAGATGGTTGCCCTTCTTCAGTACTCCAGACAACTAGTCTGGAAAAAAAGGCCTTATACTGTAGTACCGGCCAGTCATCTTAACAAAGATGTCTCTGTGAAATCTGGCTGTTGTGTTGTTCACCTCTAATGAAACTCTTCTGCCAAAGCCTCAGCAAACTTGGCTCTCAGTGCACCAGACCAGCAGTATCAAGCTTGCAGGCATGCAGTGTAGTTGATGAGTTCCTGCTTTTTCCTGATGTCTCCATCCTAGATTCTCCTAGCTCATATAGCTCCTAGCTCCTAGCTCACAGCCTTTCCATCTCTCCGACTGTGACAGACGAACAGAGGCAAGATGTGGCGGGGAATGTTTCTTGCAGCTCACGTTTTTCACTGGCCTCAACTACTCATATGATGTTTGATGAGATGGGCATCTCTCCAAATAGGGTTGCCTTGTGTCAGATCTAGATTTTTTCACCTGAAAGCTGATGATGGTGAAAGAACTTTCAGAAACAGGTCTGGCTCCCTAGCCTGTGAAGAATTAAAGTACTTAGATTTTAATGCCTGTTTGATTCATTGGGAGACTCCTTCTAATTCCTCACTGCAGCTGTAGGAGGAACCTGGAGAACAGCACCATATGCCTAAAAAAATAGACTCTACAGTATATGGAGCAAAGGAGAGCAGCTCCATGCCTATAGAAGGATGCATTGGTGCTATCTGGAGCTACCATGTAGAGAACTCTTCAGTGCATGCACAAAACACACTGCCAGACTCCAGGGCACATTTGATGAATTTATTTTCTCATGCTCCCACCCCCAGCTGCTGAGGTTGAACACCCTGCCAGGATCACTATCCTCGCAATGCTGATGCATTTCAATCTCCTTTCAATTCCTGTTGCAGAAGGCTTTAGCTAGAGCTGGAATAACTCTATTTCTTTTTTCTTTTCTAACTGACTTGGCATGTATTCCTACTGGGTGTACTCACTATTGCACTTCGTACCACCTTAGTAGAAAATCAGGAAAAACATTGCCCTTCCAATGTTTCTGTCCAACTTGATCTGCATTTCAGAGCAGGAGGCTTAACGTGGAGGTAATAGAAGTAGGGAACAGTAACAACTCTGCCCCTTTTCCTCCTCTCTGGCCCTGCACCTCAGCTCAGAAACATCCCTCTGAGGCATTCATCTGCTCCTGGCAAACACCAATCAAACACCTGGGAGCCAGATGTAAACAGCTGCATGGTAGGTGCCATTTGCGATCCAGCCTTAATGCAAACCATGCTTAGGAATGGTTACAAATGGCTCCATAAAGAAGACAAAACACATAGCACAGGTAAGTAGCACCTCTTTTCTTATTTCATCTTTCCTTTTATCTTATTTGCTTTCATATCTATGGTATGGAGGAAGCCTTTGTGTGGTGGGATGAATAGCAGCTGAGTTTCAGTGATTTGGCCTCAGTGCACTAAATCACTTAAGTAAATACTTAAGTCACGTGCTCAGTCTAAACCTTTGTTTAACTGCTTTCCTGAATAGGGATGCTTTAGTGAGCTGGGGCCTTTGTATTATTTATTTTTGCTAACACTAGTCTGCTAGGCTGGCTAGCCCTCTTTTTGATGTTTAGCTTGGTGTGTGCAAAATTACCTAAGGTGAATGTTTATGGTAGCAAGTCACTTAAATACTGTAATCCCTAGGTACCCCAGGTTTTGCAAGGGCATTGCTGTAACTTTAGAGACTTGTCTGTAAGAGCCCTTTTGCCTTTCAGACATCAGTGAAATAGGGCTATGGCTTCTTTTGTTCATCCCTTTAGGGCTGGCTTTTCACTAGTTCTTCCCATTGTTTTATTTTATTTTATTTTTGAATACTTTGGACTGATATCAGAAGCTTTTCTTGTTGTTGTTTACTTTAAGATTGCAGCTTCTTGCCTTGTCCAAAAGCCACTACTAGCAACTCTGTGGAATGCTCAGAAAATTTCCTAGTAGTCTGTGTACCTTTGCTGACAACGCCAACAAATATATTGAATTTCAGTCTGGATCATGAGATTTTATAATCTCACATTTTATAATCTTACATTCCAGGCAGTTACAGTTTGATACTCCTGGCATGGTAAGCTATTTGTATTTTCAATAGGCTGCTAAATAGTTTATGCTGTGTCAGGTCATGATGTTTTCTCTGCAGTAGTCTCATTATAAGCCCCCAAGGAAACATATTCTGAAAAAACAGGTTTGGCTCAGAATGGATGTTAAATCAAGGTTATAAAAAAGCTTATATTTTTCTTCTCTTTCTTTCTTTCTTTCTTTCTTTCTTTCTTTCTTTCTTTCTTTCTTTCTTTCTTTCTTTCTTTCTTTCTTTCTTTCTTTCTTTCTTTCTTTCTTTCCTCCTCTCCTCTCCTCTCCTCTCCTCTCTTCCCTTTCTTCTAAGTGTGGTCTATATCTGTTTTCGTTTGTGCTATAGGCTAGGAATTCTTAGTGAAAAGAAAACCTTGATGTTTTTCCCAGGTGTACTGTCAGGCCAGTTTGCTGAAAAGGACTTGTAGCTACAGGAAGCAGTATCAAAAGGTAAATGATAAATAGAAGTAAATATCAGTCTGCTACTTTTGCAGGTCATAAGTTTCAGGAAAGCTTTAGAAAGTAAAGTACCTTTAAGTAGACCTTTAGTCTTTTTTCAAATCACACCTCAATAAAGTACAAAGGACTTGATACAGTCAAGTGCTTCCTGTTTACTTTATAAAACTAACATCAGCCATTAAATGCAATTTTTAATTATATAGTTACTAAATTTTAAAAATGAATTGAAATACAGATCTAGAGAAAACAATCAAATATCTTCCAGAAGCACAGAATCATAGAACCATTATGGTTGGAAAAGACCTTCAAGATCATCGAGTTCAACTGTAAGCCCTTCAACATCATGCCTGCTAAACCATGTCCCTAAGTGCCTCATCTGCAGGCAAACCGACAGCAAACACTCAATATTAAAGGGAAACAGATTTTGAGATTATTTTTATATTCTCTTAAAACCCTTAAATCAGGAGACAAGCTAATAACTGTGGTTTCCTGCATGGGTGTACATTCCCTGCCATCTCATGTAAATATGATCTACTTAATCTTTGAATATCAAAAGAAAATGTGGAAGCTGGCAGTATCAGATGTAGGCTGGACACTTGTAAGCTAGACACTTACTTGATTTTTTTTTTTCATTTGCATTTGCATTTGCTCTTATTCTCTCCTTGCTCTTATTCTCTTTTTCTTATTCTATTTCAGGAAAAGAAAAGAAAAAAAGAATCCCCTAACAAAACAAACTATGCTATTGCCTTGCAGAAGACTTCATTTTAATAATTTAAAATAATAATTTGACATAGCTTTTTCTTCCCAATAGCCGAAAGCACTTTGTCTGCTTCTGGTACGGGCCGTGCAACATTTGCCCATTTCTTGGGCACACCAGAAAGGTGACTTTGCACAACTATTTGCAGAGGACGAGTCCAGGGGAGGGCAACTCAGTCACCCACAATGAGTGTAAGGACAACAGCAGTGGCAGAGGTTGCCACTGGCAGAGGTTTGAACAGTGCATTGGTCAAAGTATTTTCGTAGAGTATATCAATCTGATCTGTGGTTGCTGCTACTCTGTCACATTGTATCGTACAAAGCATTTCCGCATCACTATAACAAGCAGTTTTTGCAGTTTTAACTGTATATTCCTTTTGAGTTTAAATCTGAAGGCTGTTTTAAAGCAGAAAGGAAAAAAAAAAAAGATATCAATTTTACAGCCTGCCCATCCTTTTCTGTGATGAACAACAGGAAAATTAACTGCAAGCATCACGCTTGTAAAACCCAGAGATTTTCAGAAAACCTAGAGCGCTGTTATTGTTCTTTCCTAGATTTACCATAAGGAATTAGCATCCCATCGTGCAACATTTTAAGCACTGAAACAATACAACTGTTCTACCCCATTCATTTGATCTGTTAGGTCAACATGCATTGAAAATACCAACTTAGAGGATGTCATCATATAACCAGAAGGGCAAATGTACAACTGGTATAAATTTCTGTAAGTCTTATTGATAGAATTAGTGCAAACAGGGTTAATTGTGAATCTGATGCTCATTTTTTTGCAAACTATGTCTACAGCCTTGCCACCTTATTTTCTTGAGCAGTCTTCTGAAATTTTAGGGGCAAGTTTAACAGGATGAGACAGTCAAATTCAAAAGAATCTCTTACAGTCATTGTAAACAGATGTTTCAGCCTGGAAGAAGTTTGCAATGCAAACATGGTCTTACGCAGGTTTTAGCTGCAAAGACCAGCTTCTCAGTTCATCCAAGGGTACTCTGAAGGCACAGTTGAGGAGAGGGTGAATAACAGGAGCTTTTGTTAACTTTGGACAAGTTCTGATGACTCCAGTCCCTAGTGCAGAGCTGTCAGCAGTCACAACTCTGTGTGCGTGATGTGCAGCTCCAAAACCACTTGTGGCCAAGCAACATGACAAAGATCTGTGTCATTCATTCATTGACTTATTTACTCATTCATTCATGCAGTGGATGAGTTGTAAGTGATCAACATTGCCTACCAGAAAACCATCTGTAATTCACAGGCATTATTTTCAGTTAGGTGTTTAAAAATATCCTAAAAGTCAAATTTCTTGTATCTTTCCTACTAGCTTAAGCATAGTAATAATTGGAGCAATAAACAAAACAGGAGTTAAAGGCATGCAAGCAATCTACTAATTAGTGGTGCTTAGTCTCTGAAGAGCCTCTCACAGTGTGGAGATGCTGGTTTGGCTGAGGCATCTGTATCAGTTTTGTTAGTGAATTTTGTGTCTGTCCTGTGCTTTGGAGCTTAATGGCCATGATCTGCCAGATAGGGATTTACACGGATGGCCAACTACATGCCTCAACCCGTACCTCAGGGCACACTAATCTGTCTCATGCCATGAGGCTGTGCCCCTTGTCAGATGTTCTGATGTTATGTAAGGTGCAAACATCCAGCAAAAATCAAATCTTACTACCCCATCTACAGGGCCCTAACTCCAAGGCCACAGGTTCACAGCAATACTGGCTAGCCCCATCTCTGTTAGGTTTGTATAGAGAGAGCTAGATGGGATGTCTCAAAACAAGGTCAGAGAGTAGGGTATTGGTTACACAGTATGGGCCATAAGGGAACCATGCTTGAGCTTACTGCTGAATCTCTCCTAGTTAGCAATATGTCCATATCCACATCTTACTGACCTGCCAACCTTCATGAGTCCTTTAATCTTCTAAGACCTCCTTTAAGGACTGGAAGTCTTCCCTCTAATGATTTCTAGGGAGTGGGAAAACCAGGTCCATCATCCCGGGCCAGCAGCTTGAACTGCCTTCTGTGAGTGAACAGCCTCAGCAGTCACAGTTCATGCTCTAGCCAAGAACATCCAGATTTGTTTTCTCATTTGCTCTCTGTGACATGTACTCTGCCTAAATTGAGACTTTGCCCCTCTACACATTTAACAAATGCTTCAGAGAGTGAGCAGGAACCGCCACACTTGTGGCTGGTATGACTGCACTTATTAAACACTGCCATTACGGCTGGCTCCTTCCTCTCATCCACCTGCACTGAGTGACAGATAATGTTCATGTGGACCTTTTCCCCAGGCTGCTGGTATTCTCTGTTCAACCCACCTGCAAGTAAAGGAAGATAAAAAACAGAAGGCTTTTTTTTTTTTTTTCCTATTCAGTGGTGCTGAAACTTATTTTCAACAACTTAGGTGGGCAGGGTCAAGAATTCTTTAAGGATTCCTTAATACATTGCTTCTCTTACACAAATTCTTTATTAAAGTTTGCACATCATGAGCACCTGGTACAGTTATCCAAAAACCTTGTCAGCTTGTTGATTATGCAGGAAAATTCCCTGTACAGCTCACCAATTCAGGGAAACTTTGCATCCTCTCCTTGCCTGTTGAGTTAAAAGGATGATTTCAACCTTACTGGGATCTGTCTGCACACCTCTTTGCATGGAATTGGAAGTTGTTTTTAGCTTGGCTGGAGCCATTTCCTGAGCTCTGATCTGGAGATACAGATCTGTTTTATACAACAAAACTGAGAATGAAAACCAGGAAGCTCAATAAGTCAAATGGTAGATCTTCCTGAAGGAGTTATTTTCCTGAGAAATACCACCAGTTTTGATCACTGCCTGGACAGCAGAGTGAGGCAATGGCATTTCTAAAAAGGCCATGTTGAATAAATGTTGCTCTGTTTCAGGAACGGCTCCTGCCCGATAATTCTTGTCTGATGTGTCAGGTGTAGTGTGTAGTATCAACCATCTCTTAAAGTTATTTCCCTTTGTGAGGAAAGGAAAATGTGTTCTACCT